CTGAGCTAACCGGGCGCCCAAGCTGGCTGGACTGTGTTTTATGGTGAATGCAAAACCATAAACAAACACACTGACTTCCCTGTCTCATACACCTTGCAGCTGTAATTGGACCTCATTTGTTATGTGCACACAAAGGCAATGTGGCAAAAGACTGTGTACAGTAAACTGCTTTAAATCCCATATTGTTTTTACCCATAACAACCAAGGATGATGATCACAGGTAGAAAAATATGTCTGTGTCAGCTATTTGTCTCTTATGCCATAACATAAAAAGTATTGTATTGTATTGCAAGTTTAAATGGAAAAAGCATTGTATATAATTGATCCAGGTAAACAACATTTAAAGGAGCACCCTATAAATTCACTATTTCACTTTCATAAAAGTTGGGGGACCTGTGAGAGACAGATTCAAAAACAATGCCCACATTTGAAGCAGCAAATGCTGAGATATGCTCATCCCATCTTGCAAGCACCACACCCCCAGTCTTTAACACAGGCTTTTCTGTTACTGTTTGTAAGGGGAAAAACATATATATTAAATAGAGGGACATATTTGAGATTCAGATATTTGTTTTCACACATTTTCTGTGCAAACATGCAGGAAAAGTGACAAAGTCTCTCATATATGGTGACATATATGTGTGTAAACTAGATTCCATTATTTACTTTCCACATATATGGATAACATTAAGTATAAATATGTGGTACACATATTTGTTTTACACATATATAATGTAATGTATATAAGCATGCATGCATTTTAGATATATGCTTAAAGTAAGCTTTGCAATATGTTGCCAGTTATTTAATTAAAAAATAATAATAATAAATAAAATTTATATTTTGATTTTATACAGTATATATTTATTATTATACCATGAGGGGTATTTTACGCGTCGGACGGTTCTAAGGCCTCCGCGTCATCCATTAATTCCTGATTATGGACACGTCGTCTGGCATTATCCCTTACCTATTACATTCAGGGATTATTCATGAAGAGTTTAAAGTCATACTGTATTTTTTGCTCAATAGCGACCACTATGGCCACATGTGGTAATTACAGAATTATGGCACATTGAAATTCCCCTCATTGCCAAAAATTGTCATAAGTTATTATTAGCTGTAAAGGATGTCATCTTTAACTGACCTTACTGAACTAAAACATAGAGATGAGTCATACAATCTTTTAACTGACTCAGTAATGTCAGTTATACATAGCTTAAGTTTGCTATGACTTGCTAATATTGACCAACATAAGTGACTAAAACTGTGTTTTATTTTGTCTTATAAATAACATGATATAACAAAATAAAATGTTCTGTTACAGGTAAAAGTAATGTGTTAAAAGTCTTACCTAATTAAAAGTTCAAAAGTATAAGGATCAAAAATATAAATTTAAGTGTAACTAAAAGTATTCATTATGCAGAATGGTCCATTTCAGAATAGAATTTATGAAATTAATGGATTATAATTATTGATGCATTAATATGGACATCACTTTAATGTTACAGCGGGTGTAGGTGGGGCTCAT